AAAAAAAAAAAAAAAGATTGGATAACAAGGAATTAACTAAATAATAAATTATTATAAAAATAAAATATTATAATATACAAAATAATAATTCATTGTGATGAAACCAAAAATATTAAACAACAACAACAACATACCAGTATATACCCAATTTGTTGGAGACTGGGGATCAGTTGTACCCAGACCTCACCCTTGTAATTATACAAGGAGGTTGTTTCCGTAGCGACCCAAGGTACATTGCGTCGTTTGATATATTTTTTTCTAGAAACTTCACTAATAGAAGAAGCACTAGAATTTAAAAAGAATAAGATTTGTATCTAAAAAAACGTATTACCAAATAACTTATATTGTAAAAATGTGTATTGAAAATATTGAGGAGATAGGTCTTCTGGCCTATCTGGACTACATCCAAACCTCCATCAGCAACTCTGCAAGCACACCTCTGCTGGCTCAGGTGGGAGAAGATGAGATAAAGAGAGTTCTTGATAGCATGAATCCCAACAAGGCCCCAGGCCTAGATGGTATGTCTCCTCTCTTCTATCAAAAATTTTGGAGCAATATTAAATCTAATCTTTGCATTGCTATTCAAAGTTCCTTTGATTCTAGCCAAATTCTCAAAAGTTGGAACCACACAGCTATCACTCTAATCCCTAAATGTTCTAACCCTACCAATGTTGCTCATTTTAGGCCCATTAGTTTGTGTGGAGTCCCTTACAAAATCATATTCAAGATCTTGGCTTTTAGACTTAAAAACTGTCTGCACTCCTGCATTTCTGAAAATCAAACAGCTTTCATTCCTGGTAGGAGTTTTATGGACAATGTAGTGATTGCCCATGAAGCTATCCACTATCTTAACAGGCATATTTCTGGGAATAAATTCTTGATGGCTTTAAAGCTTGATATGACAAAGGCTTTTGATAGAATAGAGTGGAATAACATTATAAAAATAATGTTAAAAATGGGGTTTCATGCAAAATTTGTCAATTGGATAATGGCTTGTGTTACTTCTCCTCACTACTCTTTCAATGTTAATGGATCTGTGAGTGGTTATGTGGCTCCATCCAGAGGTATAAGGCAAGGAGACCCCATATCTCCTTACATTTTCATCATTGTTGATGAACTTTTCTCTAGCTTGATCAAAAATGTTGTTGCTAATGGAGATATGCAGGGTTTTAAGCTATCTAGAAATGGCCCAACCCTCAGCCACCTTTTCTTTGCAAATAACACAATTCTTTTCTCCTAAGCCAATAACCAAAATGCCACTGCAATTCTCCAAATCCTCCAAACATACCAACTGCTCACTAGACAGAAGGTAAATCTCCAAAATCATCAATATTTTTTAGCAAAAACACCTCAATCCCAGTCCAAAACTCTATATGTGCAATCCTTTATGGCATTCAACATCAAACCTCCTGTAAATATCTTGGATTGTCTCTCCAAATTGGCCATTCTAAAAAGCAAGCCTTTAACTATGTGACTGATGTGGTCAGAAATAGAATTTTGAGCTGGAAGAACAAGTTCCTTTCCCCTGCAGGCAAAGAGATCCTAATCAAATCAGTCCTCAGTGCATTACCTGTTTTTGTGATGTCTTGTTTTATCATTCCACTTTCAGTTTGTGTTGATATTAACAGGCTAATAGTTGAGTTCTGGTGGAGAAAATGAGATAAAAATGTGAGAGGTATGCACTGGAAAACCTGGAAGCTCATTACTCTCCCATTGGAAAATGGAGAATATTCAATGAAGCTCTAATCTTCAAACAACTTTGGAGAGTAATCACCAAGCCCAACCTACTCATGAGCAGAATTCTCAAGTGAAAATACTTCCCCAAAGGCTCTTTCCTTGAATCTAAACCACCTGCTAGCAGCTCCTGGTTTTGGAGGAGCTGGATGAAAGTCTGTCCCTCCTTTAAACAACACCTTAGGATGATCATTGGTGATGGACAATTAGCTCTTATATGGGAACACCCCTGGCTACACACTCTCTCAAATCTCAAGCCCATTCTGAACCCATACTGTCACAGAAGCATATACAAAGTCTGCCAGCTCATGAACCAAGAAGATTGCAGTTGGAACATGGATCTGATCAGAGCCACCTTCTCACCTCAGGAAGTGGATGCCATTCTCCTCATTAAACAGCCAAGACAGATCAAGGCAAGATAGATTTATTTGGGTTTCAGATAAAAAGGGCTCATTCACAGTCTCTTCAGCCTATGCTCAGCTCATCAAAGAGAAAATCAGCAAGCTTGATGTTCCTGAGACTAGCTCTCAATCCTCCTGGATTTGTAAAGTCGGATCCCTATGCTGGAAATTGAAGATTAAAAGGAAACTGAAACACTTTCTCTGGAAGTGTTTCACTAACACCCTCCATGGTTGTGCTAATCTAACAAGAAGAGGCATACTTGTTGACACCATTTGCCCTGTCTGTGAAGACTCTGAGGAAACCACAGAGCAAATTTTCTTCCATTGCTTTAAAGCTCAAACAATCTGGAAGCTGCACCTCTGACTTGGAATGGCACAAACTCTGAGACTCCTAGTTTCAAATATTGGTGGAGGACATTTGCTTATCCAAATGCAAAGCCGCTGTTGATAGGATTGAGCTCACCACATACATCTCTGGTGGCTTTGGAAATCCAGAAATTTATGGCTCTTTCAGAAGGTGTGGCTGCCAGAAAAGGAGGTCACCAAAACTGCTCTCCTTGAATGGCAGGAATTTTCTGCAGCTCAGTTTCTCTTTTGACTTGCCTGTATATAGTTTTGGTCCCTTTTGCTTTGTTGGCTTCTTTAGTTTGTGTTTTTTCCCCTATCCCCCCTCCTCAGTCTCCCCCCCATTTCCCTAGTTAGGTTCTTCGATTCAGTGGCTAGTTATTCATTTTGAATGTGTCTTAGATAAGTTAACTAAAGGATTTCAGTATTTTTACTGCCTTTTAGTAGCTTATCTGAGTAATTATAGCTTAGTTCCATCAGTGGAACTCCTTTATATTGGTCATTCGGCCTCTCGAACGTTGTACATTTTTCTAAAGTTTATTCATATATATCGTTTCAAAAAAAAAAATGAAAATATTGAGGAGAAGAAAGAGATAAAAGTGTGGGAAATATAGCTTTCTTTTTAAAAATAAAAAAATAAAAATAAAATCTATTGAAATGTAGATGTATCCAATCCCAATCTCACCATTTGTGATCGACAAGAGAAAAACAAGTAAAGCAGGAAATACTCGCAAAATATTTAAGCTTAGATAGCCGGAACCTACTATTTTAGGCTTAAAACTCAGCTTACTTACATCCAAAACCGGAGCAATTAATATCCAAAAAAGGTTTAAACTAGATGATTTCAGGTTTTAATGTCGAGCTAGTTGTAACCGAGTCTAATTTCATATCTCACTTCAACTGGGATCCCACCAGCGACCTTCAAGTTCGTATAAATGGCTTCTGATCAAATGGGGTTGGCAAGTTGGCAAAACTTGATGGATGATCATATTTACAAGCAGGCCCATACTTGCAAATGCCATAGCGATGATAGTACGTACAGATGGGCTGATCCTGCAATTATCAGAAGTATGGTGACAGAAGAAGAAAAATAGGCTACATCGAATCGAAGAGATTTTGAACAGACACAGAATATATGTATCTACACACAAGATTCAGTTCATGACAGTCTTTAAAAACCATTTAATACTAAATGGCACCCAAAAAGAGCGAGCACGTCAAAACTTACAGGTCTAAGAGGCAGGCCTTTGTCGTTGAGAGTAAATGAATCTGCCTTGGGCTTGCGTATATGAGTCTTTGGGTGATGGAATTTGCAATTAGACTTAAACTTGCAGTCTCCATTTTTCATGAAGAAACTGCACTCGGGTTCACCCGGACGTTCTGGGTATTCGTCGAGCACCAAAAAGCTGATCTCAGTTGGTAAATTGCTCAAGGCAAATGCTGGAGGTGTCGGTAAGCTCCTATTAGATGTGGTGTAGTTTGGAGCCTCCATATTATAGAAACAACAAAATGTTAGTCTTTGTCATATCTATGAAGATGTGTCAGATGGGACTATTTCAATGACAGAAAAAACAAGTCAAGGAGATAATCTTTTTTCTTCAAAAGTAATTAACATTTGGGATGGAAAGCATTGTTTTTCAATCCGGACCGGACAGGCCCGACGGGTCGACCGGGGACCCGGCCGACCCGGAGCTGGGACCGGTCCGGATGGGCTATTTGGACCGGGTAACAATGGACATGGTCAAAACCCGACCAACCCGGCTTTGATCCGGACGACCCGGGTTATTGACCCGGACGGGTCAACCCGGTTGACCCGGTTCATATATAAATTTTTTATTTTTTTAATATTTTTTATAAAAGTATATAAACTATGTAAATATTGATGTAGTAAATATTTATTGTGAGATAATTCTTTTAACACTTTGATGTACAAATTTTAAATACAAAACATTTTATTTTGTTACTTTTATGTATATTTATATGTCAAAAATACTATATATATAATTTAAAAAATTTTAAAATTAATTATCCGGTTCAGCAATTGACCCGGTGACCCGGAGACCTGCCCGGGTCGATTTCCGGGCCGGGTTTAAAAACTATGATAGAAAGTAATTTGTTAATTATCGTTGGTCATTGCAGTGCAACTAAACCATGAAAATAAAGCATGATGCTAGGTGATAATACACACACTCTATGAAGCAAAATTTACACACCCAATAGCCAAATTTAACTGTAAATCTAAAGCAATAGATGCAAATAAGGTCGAGAGAAACTATGAAGGCTTGTACCTGATCTCAAGCCAAGAATTTCACAGAAAATCACGATTACACAAGATAGAAAAAGTGAGAAACTATGTGAGTTTGACAATTCAGCATCAGCAATATGTGCAGGCTGCTGCATGAATTCTTTGATGGTTTTATGTCAACTACATGCAGGATAGGAAACAGGTAAACCCTGACTATATCGACACGCAATCTTTCCCGACTTTTGAGTACAAAAGAAGGACAAGTGATAACTGATAAGTACAAAACTGTATAATACTCAGAAAAAAAAAAAAAAAAAAACAAGGATAATATCACGAGAAATAGGTACTTAAGGAATAAAATTTACCTGGTAACCACTCCACTCTGGATCTGAAGATGGGGCACCCTGGCCACCAGAGAACACCGAAGGTCTGAAAGATGAAGCCTCATTAACTGCCATAGGAGAAGACCAAGATGGCACAGACGAGGAGGAAAGCAGTTGTGAAGAAATGGAGCCCCCATTGTCATATCCAGAGGATGAAGCAGCTTCACCCACTGTGGTAGGTTCAGGATGATGAAACCTGCAGTTTGACGCATATTTGCATGTCCCAGTTCGCATATAGAAGGGACACTCCTTTTCACCCTGAAGAAGGCAACCCATTTGTAACTAGGACATATTGTGAAAGATAGTTCTGTAGCAAAATAGATTTTAAATTGCAGGAACTATTCAAATCATTACTTCAATAAATTTTGAATTGCAGGAACTATTCAAATCACTACTTCAAAGTTCATATAAAAATATTTCAAATGATATTAGGAATTTTCAATTCAACCACAGATTATTTGGAACCACAACATAGATAAAAGCATGATCAATTTTGCATTGGCAATTAGTTTCTTATGTCCTTGACTTCATGAAACTCAATGCTTATATACTAAAGAGTTGCAATTATCTTTATATGTTTGCAACAACAATATTAAGGCATTTTCATTAATCACATCATTATCTGTTTAATTTGAAAGAGAAAAATCTCAAACTGCTAAACAAAGCTAAAATCATAGTAAGCATATGTCCACAAGAACTTTAAACTCCAAATAGAGGGTATACTGATCGAATCGGCAGTCCTAAAAAGTTGAACTCGAGAACTTGAGACTTGGAGCTGTTGTCTGAATCATGAGAAAATCTACAGTTCTCCCCATATCTGCATCCACCTGATGCCAGGTAATACTGCAGTGAATACAAGTTGATTGTTGCATCAGATAAGCATCGTTGGTTCATGAACAGAAAGATAAAACAACGGAGAATAAGAAAAACTGATGTATTTTAATGCTATAGAAAATGCAGTAAGACAACAGATCATGATACGCAATAAAAGTTCAATACACAACATTATTGTACACGACCAGAGGAGTGCCCCTTAATATTGCATGCCATTCCACCATTCATAAGGGTTGTGCTTCAGATACAAAAGAAAAAATATTATAATTGTCACGGTATAAATTGCTCCGAGATGTACTGCAAAGGAATTTGGAGAGTGCACATCTACACTGTGGTGACAGGATCACATATAAACGATCCAGTATATCAATGATCTAAAATATAAGCGAATAATGACCTTGCATTCAGTTTGTCCTCCCCTTTCTGAGTTATCCCCACCATACTTGGCTCTCTCCTTAACAACCTGAAAAAAGCAAATTCAGTACATTTTAACGAGAAATAGAGGTCGAATAGTTCTATAAAGCATGCAGAATCCACCTACGCATACAAAACCTGGGTATTTCTCCTAGGAGGGTGATTGAACTTGCAACTCGACCCAAATTTGCAACACCCTGATTTCATATAATATGCACAATCCTCTGCACCAGGCCTCATAGGATAGTTAATCTTCCTATTGTTACTATTTTGATTATATCTTCCGAACTTTGTCACAGCATTCCCAGACCTACTTCCTCCATTCATTTTGTTGTCCTCACTACCTCTCGCATTCTCCACAAAACCCCATTTATTTTCATTTTGATCCTCAACATACTCGGTATTTTCTCCACCCATTTTTCCTTGAAGATTATTAAGTTCCCTTGTTTCCTCATTCTCCATAAAGCCCCACCTGTCCTCATTTTGATCTTCAACACTCCAGACATTTGCTTCGTGAAGATTATCATGTTTCCATGCTCCCTCATTCTCCATGTAACCCCACCCATCCACATTATCATCTTCGAACCTCTTCCCATTAGTTTCACCTTTTCCACCATGAAGATTATCTAGTCTCAATGCACCCTCATTCTCCACATAACCCAGCCGAACCCCATTTTCATCTTCGACATTCACTGCATTTCTTCCACCTTTTTCTTCATGAAAATTTTCAACTTTCAGCATTTCCTCCTTCTCCCCAAAACCCCATCTATCCCAATTTTCATCTTCAACACTCACTGAATATTCTCCACCCTTTTCTTCAAGAAGATTATCTGGCTTCGCCCTTCCTTCAATCTCGGCGTAACCCCACCCACTCTTATTCTCATCTCCAACATTTCCTGCATTTTTACCATCCTCTTCTTCATGAAGCTCGCCTATTTCCACTGTTCCCACGACATCCTTCCCTCCCTCCACATTAACCGCTTCCAACCTCTCTCTCTCCGCCTCGATTTCAGCCTTCTGAATCGTCAGATGGCATAAATCCCTCTCTAGGGCGTTCTGCAATTCCAGCTCATCAGGGCCGGCCACGCTTTCCCCCACCACATCCGCCGTCGACTCCGCCGGCGGACAAATTCCTCCGCCAGGCGCATTCAGGGAGGACTCGTCGTGCTGGATCTCGACGGCCGGGGTGGTGTTAGTGATCGAATCACGCGATGCATTATCGGCGATCAAAACCCCGGGACCCGAATTCTCGATTGGGGGGTTTCCGGTGGTCGGTGATAGTAATTCCGCCATGGGGCAAGCTCCCTCTACATTCGAAGCCCAGATGAAACCCTAGCTCGAAAGCTTCGATCCTATTTGATGTGAAGAATGGAAAAGGTGACAGAGGATGCCGGAATGTGTGAGGAGATGATACTCAACCCACACACCGCGGGCAAAGGCAAGTGCGAGTGGCGAGACGATTTATATATGCATATATTTGTAGCAAAAAATATTGATATTAAATTATTAATATCATACTATAATTATAATTATCATACTATAATTATAATTATAATAGTTTATATATCATATCCCCTATATATAATTCATGAATGCGTTAGAGCCTACGTGGCAGTTTCCGGTATTTCGGAATCTTACTTGGCCAAAAAACACGCTTTGTAATTAGATTTGGACAAATAATATTCATATATTAATAATTAATAATCTAGATTCAGACATTCCATAAATATTATTTAGCTAACTTAGGTATTTTAATATCACTTGTACTAATATAACCCTTTAATTCTTTGTAATTTTACATAGTGGGGCACTAAGTGACTAATATATCATTGACTTTTGATTTGTTTCTTTCAATTAACGATTGAATTATAAATGCATTTTAAAAGTTGATAATTTTTGTATTTCTTAACGGGTTTACATATATAATATATCAAATTAATCATCTTTTCATGATTTCCGATTTGACATTCATATTGTATATATAAAATAAATTAATTATATTTATCTTTATAATAATAATAAAATAATAATAATATTTATTAAAATTTATTAGAAAAATAAAATTATTTCTCAGTTGATATATTTATGTTTAATGTAGTTACTAGTACAACGCTCGTGTATTACACGAGTACTTACTAATTTTTTTTCTTAAAATTTAAAATTAATGAGAAAAAATAGTTGAAAATTTAAATACCTTTTATAATAATATATATTATTATATATTTAGTATGATACTTTTTATTTGTGCGACATACATGCGTTATATTATAATAATTATTTTAATTTACAACATATAACTACATTAAACATAAATATATCAATTGAGAAATAATTTTATTTTTCTAAAATAAATATTATTATTTTTTATTATTATAAATATAAATATAATTTATTTATTTCATTTATACAATATGGATGTCAAATCGAAGATCATCAAAAGATGATTAATTTGATATATTATATACTAGTACAACACCCGTGTATTACACGGGTGCTTGCTAATTTTTTTTTTAGATTTAAAATTAATGAGAAAAAATAGTTTGAACATTTAAATACCTTTTATAAGAATATAAATATATATATATATATTATTATATATTTATTATGATACTTTTTATTTGTGCGACTTACTTGTGTTATATTATACTAATTTTTTAACTTACAATATATAACTACATTAAATATAAATATATCAATTGAGAAATAATTTTATTTTTCTAATGAATTTTAATAAATATTATTATTTTTTATTATTATAAAGATAAATATAATTTATTTATTTATATATACAATATGGATGTCAAATCGAAGATCATCGAAAGATTATTAATTTGATATATTATATATGTAAAACCGATAAGAAATACAAAAGTTATCTACTTTTAAAATACATTTATAATTCAATAGCTTATTGAAGGAAGCAAATCAAAATTTAGGGATATATTAGTCACTTAGTGCCTCACTATGTAAAATTACAAAGAATTAAAGGGTTATATTAGTAAAAGTGATAAAATACCTAAGTTAGCTAAATAATATTTATGTAATACCCGAACCTAGATTATTAATTATTAATATATTAATATTATTTGTCCAAACCTAATTACGAAGCATAATTTTTCGCCAAATAGGATTCCGAAGCACCAGAAGCAGCCACGTAGGCTCATCGCATTCGGAAATTATATATAGGGAGGATGTAAAACCGATAAGAAATACAAAAATTATCAACTTTTAAAATATGTTTATAATTTAATAACTAATTAAAGAAAACAAATCAAATTTCAGGGATATATTAGTCACTTAGTACCTCTAAAATTACAAAGAATTAAAGGGTTATATTAGTATAAGTGATATTAAAATACCTAAGTTAGCTAAATAATATTTATGGAATGACCGAACCTAGATTATTAATTATTAATATATCAATTTTATTTATCCAAACCTAATTACAAAGCATAATTCTTCGCCAAGTAAGATTCCGAAGTACCAGAAGCAGCCACGTAGACTCAGCGCATTCGAGAATTATATATAGAGGGGATATGTTGTAAGTTAAAAAAATATTATAATATAACACAAGTAAGTCACACAAATAAAAAGTGTCATACTAAATATATAATAATATGTATATTTTAATAAAAGGCATTTAAATTTTCAACTATTTTTTCTTATTAATTTTAGATTTTAAGGAAAAAATTAGCAAACACCTGTGTAATACACGGGCGTTGTACTAGTTATAGTTATAATAGTTTATATATATGCATATATATGTAAATAAAATATAAAGTTTACACTACTATTATTTATCATACCCATATATATATATATATATATATATATATATATATATATATATATATAATTGCTAGCAAACATCCCTCCTATATATTAATTCAGAACGTGTTGAGCTTAAGTGGCAGGCTCGCATGCTTCGGAATCTTATGTGTCAAAATTACTTTTTTGATATTAGGTTTGGATAAATTTTAATTTACTTTAATCAAAAAATAATTATGTTCGTATTACCATAAATATGTTGATTTATTTATGATCATTTTAGATGTATTAATTATATTTTAATATCATTTCTTATTATAACTATATTAAATTATAAATTTATTTTAAAATTTGATAACTTTTGTATTTCTTATCGGTTTTACATATATAATATATCAAATTAATTATTTTTTTGATAGTTTCGATTTGACATCCATGTTGTATATATATAATATATATATAATATCTGTCTTTATAATAATAATAAAAATATTTATCAAAATTAATTAGAAAAATAAAATTATTTCTCAATTGATATATTTATGCTTACTGTAGTTATATGCTATAAGTTATAAAAATTATTATAATATAACACATGTATGTCGTACAAGTAACAAGTGTCATACTAAAATATATAATAATATATATTTTTTGTAAAAAGTATTTAAATTTCAACAATTCTCATTAATTTTAAATTGTAAAAAAAAAAAATTAACAAACACCCATATAATACACGGGCGTTGTACTAGTTATTAAATAAAATCTAATAAATCTTACTTTTGTAGCATTTTTCCTCCAATAACTATAACAATCCAATATTCTTATTATTTTTTTACATTAATCCACCATATCCTATTAATAATAAAATATTCTTGGTAATTTTTTTGGATTAATTAAGATAAATGCCATTATATTTTATATTAATTGAGTAGTAATAATATTTTTATTACATCATATAATAGTTATAGTTAAATTAATTATTATATTCTACACTAAAAAATATATAGAAACTACATAAACATAAATAATTTATTGTAAAAGCTTTGTGTTCAAGTTATTTATCTTAAAACAAATATTATATTTTTTTATCTGACGAAGTGAATGTTTTTCAAATAAATTAATTGTTTTAATGTCATATTAAAATTCCTTAAAATCTCATAAAAAGTTGTTATAATAAATTTAATATTTCACCGAGTTATTTGGTCATGACCCTTCAAAATTACTATATATATACATATATACATATATATTATTTATTACATTTTATGCAATCAGTATAATGATTCATATGCAACCAAATTGTTACGTACTATTTATATTAACCAAATCAAAATTTAAAATATAATATCATTATCTAACTTATAATTTTAATATTACATTCATAGATATAACTTAAAATACTCTACATTTAAAATATAATATCATTATATCATAGTTTTTAAACCCGGCCCCGAAATAGACCGGGGCAAGTCTTCAGGTCAACGGGTCACCGGTTCAACCGTCGGGTTACCGGGTCAATTGCTGAACCGGATAACTAATTTTAAAATTTTTTAAATTTTTTATATAGTATATTTGACATATAAATATACATAAAAGTAACAAAAATAAATTTTTGGTGTTAAAAAGTTGTACATCAAAGAGTTAAAAGAATTGTATCCCACAATAAAAATTTACTATATCAATATATTTACATAGTTTTATATTTATATAAAAAATATTAAAAAAATAAATAAAATTATATGGACTGGGTCAACCGGGTCAAGGTCGGGTTGGCCGGATTTTGACCGAGTTTGACAGGGTCCATTGTTACCTGGTCCAAATAGCCCACCCGGACCGATTCCAGCTCCGGGTTGGCCGGGTCCCGGGTCGACCCTCCTGGCCAGTCTGGGTTGAAAAACAATGCATTATATAACCTATATTTTAATAATATATTGATACTGATAGCTTATAAAATTTTATTTACATCTGACAAATGCACATGATCGATTAGTAGAATAGTAGTATTAGCTAAAAGAGAGAGCATTCGCTATTATTTTACCTACATAAAAATGGACCACAATCAATATTCATACATTTTTATGAAGTATGTATCAAATGTCCATACAAATCTACATGTGCAAAAGCAAAAACACATTCTTGCCAAAGATGTTCTGTGTTAGCCTTGAAAAATATGTGCAAAAACACTTTAAAATGTCTGCTTATTTATAAATACAAATTTTTAAGAAAATATTTTATGCTGATTTCATTCACCACCTTCATAAAATAAATTTAAAATATAACAACAAATAAAATTATTTCGAATTGTGTGATATAAAAAATGAACATGGTCTATATTACATACCTAAAATTCACTTCATTCGACGAGATTGAAAAAATATTCATGGGACCAGATTACGCAAATACGGTACAATGCCTAATTTCTAATATCGATCGTAGTGAAGCATCGACGAAAAAACTTGTGATGGACGAGTTGAATTACGATCATCGTGCACTGACGATTGAAAATCAAGAATTGTTTGTAAATA